ACTTAACCAAACGCACTCTTAATATAATAAAAAATTTGAGTTTTCAAACTTTTTCATGGATGTTTGTCCATTAGGGACGATATTGTCATCAACAGAGCTGTTCTGCTCCCAAAGGCCATTGCTAAAGCACCTGAAGGCGAAGGATGTCCCAAATGTGGAGGATTTGTTTACGCTGCTGAGCAAATGCTTGCTAGGGGACGTGTAAGTATCAAGTGTTAGTTTGGGAACCTTCAATATTTTTATTTATCTACGGTGAAAAGTTATCGTCTAGAGTGACTTTTCAAGTTCACTTTTTTTTCAAGTCCCAATTTCTAAATCGCCTTCTTGGCGAAGACGGCAAAAATTACATTTTCAGGTACAATTCAGTTTATAGTAAGTTGAATTAAAGCGAAATTGGACGTACAGGTCTAATGACTAAAACAGAGGCTAAACAAAATACAAAACAAAAACAAGCAATAATTTGCCAATGTTTAATTCTTTTTCAAATGTCCCTATTAATGTTTTTTTAACGTTTTCCAAACCGATTTATAATAGCAAAGTTAAATTGCTGAACAATACGTCGAAGAAACAATAACATTTCGGAAAAAGAGAGGAACATTGAGCTTTATCCGAGCCCGTAAAGACTTCTGACTATGTAAGTATACACCTCGAGATAATCTAATCTTAGATCCAGAATCGGTTCCCAATCTATCTAAAATCTTTTTCTCATAATTCGCCAATATATTTTATTTAAAAACAGTACGTGCCTGAGAACTAGCACATCTCGAAGTGTGTACTTATATAAATATTCTATAAATAATCTGTGACTACAAATGAAAAAATTATAACTTTTTTGAAATTTGATTATTATTCTTCTGGATCTTTCAGTTGCATATTTTACTTATTTTCATAATAAAATGTAAGTTTAAAACATTACTCAACAAATATTTACGCAACTGGATATCTATGCTTTACTACTGGACGTGTTTCCTTTTAACCAGTATTTACTTGAGGCTTAATAAATCTTCTAAGCTTCAAAAATAAACATGTCAGCTACTCTACTGTTCTCCAAATATACATACATTTGAGTAAATTTCATCGATCATTTCCTTTGAATGTTTCTTACATAATAGAAAATAAATTTCCCGAATTTTTTTGTCGATGTTAGGAAAAAGAGTGTTTGCAAAAATCGGTTGGAAAATAAACTGTTTAATTGAAATTTCTATTAATTACCAGGGCTGGCATAAAATATGTTTCCGTTGTGGAAACTGCGAACGCTGGTTGGATTCGACGTCACACTGTGACGGTCCAGATGGTTCTGTATATTGTACTGGTACGCCACATGGTGTTTTATTTTTAGCATGATTTTTTCAGTTTTTAATCCATGCACTTTGTGGCGTCTTCCTACAATGTATCAATGTACATTCTCATTATAACATGTTTTGCGTCGACGTTTTGTGGCACAAAAATCGTAGAAAACGTTGACTGGGATTTAAAAAATCATGTTTGCTAACATGAACTGAAATTCCCATCTGTTTAAACAGTGAGGAGTAAGAAACATATTTAGAAAGTTATATACTTCTATTTTATATAGAATACGAAAAATAGTTAAATAGTAGAATTTAAAAACAGATTTTATCTTCTGGTGCTGATCGTAAATGCCACAAAATCAGACGTGCAATTGTTGCATTTTATTTCACTTGTTAACAGATTTTGTAAATACGTGTTTTAATTCAAGGCGTTCCACAAATCTTGCTTCAAATGCGGAGAATGCAGCAAAAGATTAGATTCTGTCAACGTGACCGAGGGTCCTGACAAGGACATCTACTGCAAAGGTACGTTATTCTTCATCTATGAGCGACTGTTTACGCAAATCTTCATTCTTCTGCTTATTAGAAGCGTATTTGTTCAATTTCGATACCACTTGCGCTTGTTCGGCTTTTGGGGTGCCTTTTATCATTCAAAGGGCAAATGTGGAAACAAAGCTTGTAAATCGTCGCTGTAAATCTTCCAGTGTTTAAAGGGGCAAAGTAATATTCAGTGCACTTGAAGCTTCTGCTACAAGAGTGTCAGTTGTTGTGGTCGAAAACAGTTAGCAAGCGAGTGTGTTTTTATTTCGAGATACTTTCAATGGAGTTGATTGAAAACATTTCCTCACAAACTATTTGAATTTTGTCATTGAAGTAGGCTCGGTTTAGAACCGTGATTAATAGAAAGTTAACTGGCTGTTGCAAATTAATGCAACTTTTCAACTGTAAACGTATTCTACCAAAATAAATTATAACTTTGAGCGGTTAAAAAAAAACAGTGTTGAAATCCTGGGACGCCATCCAAGAATGGAGGGCAATGCTCTGAAATTACATTAATCTTTTTCTTGTTCGTTGGAAGTTCTAACGAAAGGAACTGCAAATGATAAAATTTCATCATCATCGAGCAAACTTCTGATAGCATCAAACATCAATGTTTTGTCATCTTACATAGCCTGCATATGGATTTAGTAAATTAACCGCTTAGAATGCCATCAACTTTTCTAATTCGTTTTGTGTCGATACACAGTTTGCTACGGAAAGAAGTTCGGTCCCAAAGGATACGGATACGGTCAAGGTGGCGGCACCTTGCAAAGCGACACCGTCTCCATCAGGTAACTAGAAGGATTGCTCAATGAGGTTCTGTGTGTCTTTTAATGCGCTAAATGTCGTCATCTTTGCCGGAGCTTTAGAGGTGGAAGTTTGCGCTTCGATCTGGCAGGAATCCCTCTAAAGCTTTTCCAAGCTCTAGTTGCTCTTGCCGCCAATCAGCTAATATAAGAACATGTTTTATGTGTAGCTTGCTATGCGCAGCGCTTTGGGCCGCGAGGTATTGGCCATGCAGGAGGCTTGTTCCTAGGGCTAATGTCCGATGCTTTGGATGCTGACTGGCAGAGGTATTCTATATTAATTCTATTTGGGCTGGATTTTTATTGTTGTGCAGCCTAACAATCCTAAACTCCCCTTTTTGCTCATCCACACTAAACATCGGGGCAATTTTCCGTTCAACAGTGGGCAAGCTCCTAAGATTACCGTTATTGATACGGCCTGCATCAAGGCTGCACCAGGTGAAGGTTGCCCCCGTTGCGGAGGTGTCGTCTTCGCAGCTGAAGAAGTTCTGGCTAAAGGTCGCCCATGGCATCGCAAGTGCTTCAAGTGCCACGATTGCCACAAAACTCTCGATTCTATCATCGCTTGCGACGGTCCAGACCGCGATGTTTACTGCAAAACTTGCTACGGCAAAAAGTGGGGACCTCATGGTTATGGATTCGCTTGCGGTAGTGGCTTCTTGCAGACCGATGGGCTGACGTAAGTCTCACCAGTGGGTCAAGTAGAACTGTGTTTGATATTGATAATTTTGGGTGCAGCGAGGACGAGATCTCTCAAAATCGGCCATTCTACAATCCCGACACTACTTCGATCAAGGCTGCACCTGGTCAAGGATGCCCACGTTGTGGGGGCGCTGTATTTGCTGCTGAACAACAGCTGGCCAAGGGAACTGTAAGTATTATGGATCTTAACGTTAAAAATATCCGGTTTAGTATTTTTAAGCAAAAATTTATCTTCGATTAGTCCCAGAAGCAATATAAATTAATTTCAAATTCAGCGGACTCTGTTTTGGCAGCAAGTTTTTTTAGTGTCCTTCCTAAAGTTCACAGAGTTGATAATCTTGAAGAAAATGAATTCGCAACAGCGTTTTTAATAACTTTACTTGATGGTCTAGAATGTTAACATTATTAATCATTGTGTATACTTTCCTGACTGTGTTTCAATTCCAAATCAAAATTAATTCCTGGGTTTCAGTCATTTAAAATGTATGCCAAGGCTTAAAGCAGCAACAACGCTACACGTAGAAACTGAAGCTGGTGGAAAAATACACCGAAACGTATTTTAATGGATAAATAAAGACAATAAATGACTGACTGAAACCCAGGAATTAATTTAAACATTATTAATGCCAAAATTATGGTTATTTATTTTTTGATGTTCAGTCTTGATGTGGTATGTGTTGAGTTACTCTCTGGTGAAATAATATTTAGCCTTTTCTTTACTAGAGACAGTGGAGAAATAGCTATTTTTCCCAGAAGAAGTTCTTTTTCGTTTAAGTATGAATCCTCCACTGTCTCGTCCAAATCAATTAAGCATATAAAATGGCATTTCAAGATCAGAAATTTACGAGCTTGAACTTTTTACCAAACAAACACACCGCCGAATTTAGGCAATACTTCTGCGACTCACTGTTCAACAAACTTTTATCGGTTTTGCTAAATCCGAACCCGAAAAACCTACAGGCAACAACATTTTCAGATGTGGCACAAGAAGTGCTTCAACTGCGCCGAATGCCATCGTCCTCTGGACTCGACTTTGGCTTGCGATGGTCCCGATAAGGAAGTCCATTGCCGTGCTTGCTACGCCAAACTTTTCGGACCTAAAGGTTTCGGCTTTGGACACAGTCCCACTTTAGTGTCCACTGGGGGAGCTGCAACGGCCATTCACGATCCCCGTCCAAACAGCGGATCGCGAGCCGCCCCTGGACATGGTTGCAGGAGGTGCGGATACCCCGTCTATGCTGCTGAGCAAATGGTCAGCAAGAGCGGAATCTTCCACAAGAGGTACGTTTTTAGCTAGTGACTTCTGTGCAATTCTATGCATGATGATAAAGTACTGCTCTTACTTACTTTGACTAATTAAGAATTAGAGAATTAGTAAGAGGACTGAAACAGTTTTAGACACCACGCTTATTTTTGCCTTCACTTGAGCTTGAAAATGTATGAAAACCGTTTGAAACCATAAAACTGCTGTTACTTCAAATTATCTTTACAGCATCCCAAATAAGACTTCAGAAGAAATTTTATTGTGCATTCCTCTTTAACAATACTTTCATCGCTAAATATAGAAGGATTTTTCACTAGTTCTTCACACACAGATAGACTAATATTAAAGTCAATTATTCTTCGAATAAACACAATCACAAGATGTGCAATACAATCGGTCTATTAATTTAACTTGTTGCCTCAATAAAATTATGATTGCAGGTGCTTCAGTTGCTCGGACTGCGGTCGCTCTTTGGATTCAACCAACCAAAATGACGCTCCCAATGGTGAAATTTACTGCAGAGGATGCTACGGGCGCAATTTCGGGCCCAAAGGAGTCGGTTTTGGAATGGGGGCTGGAACACTTACCATGGCTTAGACTTTGTCAAACTGCTCTTTCTTAATCAACTGGAAACATTCGCAAAACTCGAACACCTTGAGGAAAGTTTGAAATACTAGTATGTTCTGAACGCAAAAAGGCGACGCGACAGGCCTGGACATTTAACAACGAATTTTTATGATCTTGTCGAATTTTTGTGTTTTCGAATATTTGCAGTTTTCATTTTGTAGACATTGATTAAGACTGCTGTAAAATATTAATTACACTTAACTTCATGAGGATATCCCCGCTTATTAAACCGAAGTCAACAGTTGCGCACCTTAAATAAGGATTATTTAATCTAGGGTAAACATTAGCTTCACTGAAAGCACATTTTTGAAAGGTATTTTTTAAATGATTTTTATAATATATACAATTCCACAATTTAACGAGACTCAGAGGGAACATAAGACTCAGACCGCTGGTTTCCGGACACCAGCCCCAGAACACGGATGTACTTCCTTCGAACGAAGCAGGTCGACCTGAGAAAACATTTTTTTTTTTGTATATATCTACACTGGCCATTTTTATGGTCTATATCGAACGGATGCTTAGCGCTTTGCAAATATGTAATGTTTTTCGCTGTATATTATACGATTTTTTCTTTAGATGTAAATCTTACTTCAAATAAACGATTTAGAAATGATAAAGTTGTATTTTCCTTTGGCTGCATTTTTAAGTTAGGCCAAATATAATTTAAGCCACACACTCCTTAACTCCCATGCACTTTTAATGAGTAAATTTCCAACCAAAAAGCTATTATTACTCTTGACGTAGTGATTTTAAAATTAAAGTTTCGTCGATCTGAGCGAAAAGATGGTGAACTGGTTTATTCAGATTTCTAGATGTTCAGTTTTATTAATATCAACAATATGTTCATTGGCATTGTACTTGTACTTGTACAGACTAGACTGCCCTTGTATAGGAGTTTTGAAAGTTTGAGTCTTTGAAAAATGTTGCAAAGAACTTGACCTGAAAATCGCATCCGTTTGCATCTAACACGTGATCGTCTACTGGAGACTATAAGTGCATTCTTAATAAAATTGACCTTGTTTGTAACAGTTTATACAGTTTACAGTACAGATTTTGCAAGTCTTTCAGGTTCTGCTATAGCAACGGCCATCCTGTATAATGAGTACTTGCAATGAGGAATACACGGTCGTACATAAATTGCTTTGATACTTTTCGTCCCACTTGGTAGCGTCCTGACACGTTTGAAACAACAGGAATTTACAGCATAGTATTTTTTTCTTTCACTATTTATCTTCTTCTTCTGAGCGTGCCTTATCCGTCGCGGACGTTGGCTATCAACATGGCAATTTTAATTTTTATTGACGGCATTTCTAAATAGCTGTATAGATGTAAGTCCAAACCACTGGCGTAGATTTTGCAGCCATGAGTGTATTCTCCTTCCTGGTCCTCTTTTAATGTTGATCCTTCCTTGAGCTATTAACTGGAGTAGACGATATTTTTGATGTCTCATTATGTGTCCGAGGTATTCCAGTTTCCTCTTTTTAACTGTGAKTGTAATTTCTCTCTYYTTCCCRATTCGCTGCAGCACCTCTTTATTAGTTATGTGGTCAGTCCACGAGATTCTGAGGATACGGCGGTATATYCACATTTCAAAGGCGTTTAATTTTTTTCATTATGGCTTCCGTCGTTGTCCATGCTTCTGCTCCGTAGAGCAGAATTGGGAACACATAGCACTTTGCCAACCTTATTTTTAGAGGCAGGGATAGATCCCTGTTTGTGAATACACCCTTCATGTTGTTGAACGATGCTCCAGCTCTTTCAATCCTTGATCGGATTTCGGTGGCCTGGTCCCATCTTGTATTGATCAGCGTACCAAGGTACTTGTATGACTCCACACTTTCGATCGTCTGGTCGTTTAGTGTAATGCGCTCATTGTGTGTGTCTAGTCTGTCAACTTAGTGGTCTGCACTCACTTTCTGTATTCTTTCCATGACGCGCTGCAATTCCTCTATGTTGTTGGCTAGTATGACTGTATCATCAGCATATCGCACATTGTTAATCCACTCTCCGTTTATCTGTATTCCCTCTGTTGCCTCCTCCAACGCTTTTCCAAATACGTTTTCCGAGTATATATTGAAGACGAGCGGAGACATAATGCAGCCCTGCCTCACTCCTTTTTTTATTTCTATGTTGTCAGAATACCGGTTGTTCAGCTTTATCTTAGCGGTTTGTCCCCAATACATATTTGCTATTATGCGGATATCTTTATTATCGATACCGGTATTTTCGATGAACTTTAGTAATAGCTCATGGTCTACGCTGTCAAACGCCTTGGCAAAGTCGATAAAGCAAAGATATACTTTTTTGTTGACATCTCTACATCGTCGGATAAGAACTTCTAGACTAAAGATAGCTTCTCTTGTCCCAAGGGCATTCCGCAATCCAAATTTGATTCCCCAATCCAAACTTCACTGAAGTTTTCTTCACATTTATTGTATATTCTGTTGCGGATTATTTTCGTGAAGACTTTTGTAATATGATTGATGAGGCGGAGGAGTCGGTGTTGATCACAGGTTTTTGCGTTTTGTTTTTTCGACACTGCGATGAAGGTTGATTCAAGCCATTCTGTGAGTATTTCGCCTCTATTATAGATATCATTAAATAGACTCGTGAGGATATCGAGAAATTGATTATCAGTTCACACATAAGTTTTAGTATTTCTACTTGAATGCTATCAGGTCCAGGAGCTTTGTCATTCTTGAGAGATAGAATAGCTTTTTCAGTTTCGGATTTCATAATTGGGGGTCCCGTATCTATCTCATTCATATTGTGTTCTTTAGATCGTTCCGAAGCAAAGAGGAGTTCGACATATGATTTCCATACCTCTAGACATTTTGATGGTTCCGAAATAATATTATCGTCAGTGTCCAGTATGACCGTATTTCTGTTGTCTATTTTCTTTGTTGTCATTTCCCTTATTTCTTTATGCATATTGCGGTAGTCGTACTTCACTTCATATTGTTCTATCTTGTCACATTTTTCAGAGAACCATTTTTCCTTTGCCTCACTAATGTTTTTCCTTATGTTTTTGTGAATTTCACGGTACTTTGTGATGTTTTTACCTTCGTGTTTCCGTCTTTCGTCCATCATATCGAGGATCTCTTGTGTCATTCACTCTTGTTTTTTGTTTTTATCCTTTTGGAAATATTTTTCACAAATTGCTTGTATAGAGTTTTTGAATTTATCCCATTTGTCTTGTGCTTTACTCGAGTGGTTGTTGATTTTCTTTAAATCGTTAGTCAGCGATTCCTGCACTTGTTTCCGAATATTTCTGTCGGAGAGTTTCCTTATGTCTATGTTGTTCTTGGACGGTGCCTTCTTGATTCGTTTCAATCTCAGTTCAAACCTACACACAACCAGAATGTGGTCTGAGGGGGCATCTGCTCCTGGATAGGTTTTTGCAGATCTTATTGAGTTTTTGAATCTCTTGATTTTAGCTATATAGTCGATTTGATTTCTGACTATTTTTTCCGCAGAGTCTGGTGGCGATTTTCACGTGTAGTAAGTTATGATCCTGGCAGAACTGTATAAGACGGTTCCCTCTGTATATATATGTCTTCTAAATGACCTACTCCCTTCTAGCCACTTCTCCAGTCTATTCAGCTAGAAATTTTATTATATTGGAGCCACAATCTAAGTAATATTAACCGACTCTCATATAAAAATTAGAACCATTCAGATGAAGAAATTGATCGATCAAGCCAAATAACAAACGTGGCACATTTCTATAGTCTTCACAGTTTGTGAGAACTTGCACTATATCATCCGATGAAATAATAGCAGGAATTTTTAAAATACAGAAGAAGGCAGAATATTAAAAGATAGAAGCAAATAATCTGAGCCAAGAGGTTTGAAACAAATCAATCCAACATGTTTAAACATCGAAGCCAATTGACCAATAAGATACGAAAAGATGGAAAGGTTTTACTAGTAGGGAAAAATCAAGTTAAAGTAGCTTTAGAGCTAGAATGGTTCGAAATTATTTAACTGTAGCAAAAATTACTTTCTTTCGGCATTTTTTCGGCTGATCGTTCCGTTATTATCATCGCAGCTCATTATTTACGAATTTACCAGTAACAAGACCTCACTAGGTTTCACAAGATTTTTATTAATGAAAATATTTTTGGCAGATACTGTTTAAGCTCCATCTCCGGTATTTTTGTATTCCCAGAATCGGTTGTAATTAGCGTCGTCCAAGTTTCTATTAGTGTTGGCATTTCCTGCATAAGCTCGTCCACCTGCCGCTGTATCATAAGGAGCGTCGACATTGAAAACATCAACCAGTTCGGTTTCCCGAATCACCACTTGACCATTAGCGGCTGAAATTTAAATTTGAAATAATATAATTTGAACATTTCAACTACAGTAAACATTGTTGAAGCTCCAGATTTAATCCACACTTATTCAACAACAATCCAAAAAAATATGAATTATTTGTTCACTCACTTGAAGTTGAGTCCCAAGATCTAGCCAAGTGCAGGCCCAGTTTCGACTTGACATTGTTATCAGCAGTGATTTTGCTGCTGAGTACCAAATAACCATATTTCTGACTGTTGTCTGTGTTTGGCGCAAAAACAGTGACTGTATCCCGCCTATCGCCCCTTCCGATGATTTGGGCGTTTTCAAACACTGCAGACGCTGATCCAAAGATGAAATCTACATCGCCTTTGATGGTCGGTTTGCTGAAGTATACTCGAGTACCGCCAGCTAGCAGAGTATCCTTAAAGGCAAAAATCGTGGCAAATTGATATAATTTTGAGTTTGAAAGAATCTACCTGAAAGCCGTAGAAATGAACGTGGTCAAAGTTTTGCTGGTCTCCATCGGTTCTTGCTGCTACAGCTTGTCCATCAGATGAAGTGTTTTCAATTGTAATGTAAGCCACTTCGAGGTCCGTATTCTGAGCCCAGAATATTGAGGTGCAAGAAGTTCCTAAAAACGGATACAAAATGAAAAGAAAATGTCATGGAAAATAAGTTCACTTACCAATTTCTGACTTTTGTGCACAATAATTGAACATAGACCAAGCCGGGTCTCCGTCTTTATAAACGGCGCCATTCGGGTTCATCTGATTGGCGTATTGACTACCAGTTAGCTTAGCTCCTTGTGAAAGAACAATGTGAACCGCTTCTGGATCATCAGCACTGCCTAAAATTGTAATTGGCACTGAAGTTTTCGGAATCAGAACTCCTTCTGCGTAAGTCCCTGGTAGGATTTTGATGTATTTTCTATTGGTACCACCATCCTGCAATAATTTGTGTAAGTTTTAGAGAACGAAAAAGTTGGAATCCGACAAGGTACATTTATTGCTGCGTTGACGGCTGCCTGGATGGTCGAATAGCCTCCACTTCCAACCACATAATCTGGATTAGCTCCGGTGTTAATTTTGGAAGGTGTCCATCCTTGTAGGTAACTCTCCTTCGTGTAGCTGGCAGCTTCAGCGTCTGATAAAACCGGACGTGACGAAGTTCCTGGATATGCTTGATGGTCTGCGTAAGCAGTAGCCAGTAGAAGCTGGACTATCAGGAGGATTTGAAGCAGCATTCTAAAAAATACAAAAGTAATGATTTACAAATATTGTACATCTGAATTAGGAAAAAAGACATTTTTTAAACCACACTTTATCAAGTTACTTTTAAAAAGGGCAAAAGACCAAGTGTATTGTCTTACTTTTGCGCATTATTTCTTTGTTGTTTGTACTTTTTTGCTTATATGTTATTAATACGGAACTCTGACATAAAATTAAAAGCAAAAAACATTATTTACGTGGCTTAATCAGTTCAAAGCAAAAAAAGTTCCCGAAATCCAAAAAAATTGACAAAAAATATAATGAGATATTTTTGGGAACAAATCTCACAAAGGAAAGTAGGTCCGATTTTGGAGTAAATTGAAAGTGAATAAGAATTTTGTTAGACACATTAAAAAGTAACCGCAAATTAACAACTCGGTTGAATTGTACTCTTCTTTAGTTCGTAATGAATACATTATTGTTATTTTTTCTTGTGATTCTGTGAACAAGGCTGTTATTTATTGCATTCTGCTCTTGTTATCTAAAAAATGACAAACCTCAATAAGGTAAATTGTCAGCAATTTATATGAATTTGTTAATGTTGTTGAAGCAAAGTTTTAGTTTACGACTTCTTTAATTTTATGAGCTTTTGCTAGATTAACATTCAGTATCGTGTCACAAAAAAGTGAGCCTCGTTTTGTAATAAATTAAATTAAGAGGTGTTTTTGTTTCATTTATCTGCATATTTCTTCTGCATATAACGGATTTCATATAGTTCATAAATTTCAAAGTTTGGAACAAAATTGCAAAAATTCGTGATCCTGTTACGGTCTTTTTTGCCCTTTTCCTAATGAAAAAACTCAAAATTGACCCACTTTGTACACACGTGTGGAACAATACCAAATTTACAAGTCATCAGGATCAAAACATTATGTCACAGTTGATAAGATTGGATGATTTATTGTCGATAAATAACAAATGATATACTGGACGTATTTGTGGGGCTTCAATTTCTAATTAAGCTAAATTAAGTCAACTGTGATCTACAGAGTGACTCAAAATGAATCATTTCGTTAAAAGCAGGTAACAAGGGAAACATAATATCGCTTAAATGATAGCAAAGTCGATGCAAAATTTCACAGCATTCTAAATACTTGGAGAAGTCGGTATAAAACTAAAATTTATTAAATTTATTAGTTTAAATTTGACAAAAAACATTATTTTAGCCAATTTTGAAAAATAAAAGCAAAGTGTCTTGATAAATATTCCTCTACTTACATGGCAACTGTAGCTGTTGCTTCTGAATTACTACTAATCTTACTTAGAACATTTTCATTATTTTATTTGGTGTATATTTTTGTCCATTTTAAGTGGTGATTATTCAATTGAACAGGAACGCAATCTGATTAGTACTTTAATTAACTGAAGTAGTTTGTTTATTTAGATAACATTTTAAAGTGTGTATTTCTGATTTATTATTTTTAATGGGACTGTTATGTTATTAATTGTTTCTCCACTGCTTGATGCAGGCATCTACTTTAAGTTTAATGACGTTTTCAAATCAATCGAATTTGTCTAGCTAACGATTTTCTAGGAACACAAGGAAAAATTTGGTTTAATGAAATAGTTGCTTTTGACCAAGAAAATTATATATTTTTAACTTTTATTTTCTATTACTAGATTGTAAAACATAATTTAAAAATGTTATTATTAACCGTCGACACAAATCACTCTTAGACGAAAAAACTCAAAACACCTCCACTTTCTTTATGAGCGTTTGCCATAAATCACTCATTTCTAGAGCGAGGTAACCTTCGAGGGTAAAGCAGATAGCACCTAACTAAATCTTAAAGAAAAAATATTGTTATATTTCATTATCTATTTCAATTTAACAACAGCTTGGGCATAAAATTGATGATTTTGTGCAGAAAATCTAAGACCAACAAGTCAAGTAAACATTTGAAACCGAGAAGAAAATATACTACATAAAATAATATAATACATTTTTTAGTATATTTGAAATCCATTTTAAACTCCAGATACTTCCGTAATCCATTCTCGCATAAATGGAACATTCGCGTACACTCCTGGGAAGTTGGGTCGCGCACATCCAGCTCCCCATGAAACAATTCCAATTAAAACATTGTCAACTATTAAAGGACCTCCAGAATCTCCCTGGCATGCGTCTCTTCCTCCGTATGGAGATCCTGCACACATCATGGTTTCAGTGACATCGGCACCTAAAAATAGACATGACTTTCGCTTAGTTAACAATTCTTATTTTTTTAATTAGCAAGAACTGAAAGAAGATTCTAAAAACAATTAAAAAATCACTTTGTGCGTAGTTTTGTAGCAAAAACTCACCGATCGGTAGTACTCATTGCAACTTTCAATGCTAATCAAAGGAACCGCAACGGCATGCAATTGTGATGGACTGGATCCGCCCTCGGTTAATGCACCCCAACCAGAAATTACACATCTTGATCCGGGAATTAAGGGCTGGAAACCAAAAATTTCTCAATTTTCTTCTTCAATTAATTTCCTACTCACGGCATGAGGCGCTGGTAAAGCAACTGGTTGTAAGCTATTGGAGGAAACAATTTCTCTGGACACTTGAATCAAACACATATCGTAGTCGAAAGGAGTGGCGGTGTTTCCATAGCCAGGATGTTCGATTACTCGGGTCACTGTAAAGCGTTCTCCTTCAGATTGAAGAAAAGATGTTCCCATTCGGATGGTGAATAGTGATGGAGGTGTGTAATCACTAGAATATTCTTGTTAGGCAAAAAATCTTGAAATGGAAAATTTGGAATATTGTCGTACCGCCAGAGTTGTGTGCAATGGGCGGCACTTAAAACCCATCTATTGGAAATAATCGCCCCTCCACATATGTGTCTGTAGACATATTCCAATGAAACCTGATAGGGGTAGTTCTCAATATTCACTGGAAATCCTCCAACTATTCTAGAATCCGGTTTTTTAAATAGAGGCGGAAATGTACCTAAATTGCCCAAAATGGTTATTGGTACTAATACAGCTACTCTTCAAATACCTGGAAAAGTTTTACTTTGGCAAAATTGTATCAGATACAATAGAGCTAGAATTTTTAGCTTCATGGTTACAGTTTCACTGACGATCCGTAACTACCGATGGAAATTTGGAGCAAATGTAAGAAAATGACGTCTTGAATCTCACTGAGATGAGTTATCTTGGAAATGCGCTTTGATGTATTGTATAGATAAAACAGTCCAATTAATCAACCTAAATTTTAATCCAAGAAAAAATTTTTGGTTTTGGATGAATACAGAATAGTTTTGTTTTAGCTGGACTGTGATGTAAACGTTTTGAACACTTATTTGTAAATAAGCAGGAATGAAAAATTTAAACCTTTGAAAAACGTTAATGTCTAAAGTCACTGCTTAAAATATTGTAAAATATAAATTGAAAATGGTTATTATTTTAGAATTTGAACTTGCTTTAAAAATAAATAAAACCGAAAATTTTTAAATTGTTTTAAACTTTCGCTACACAAATTCAACCGACTCAATGTTTTTGAAAGTGTTGACTCTATCTTGAAACTATCGAATCCAACGAAGTAACTGATCGTTGCTTCACATTAAAAGTAGTTGCTTGATATGCCCGTTCAAAAACTCATCATATATCCTGCTAATAAAAGTTAAAATAAAGCAAATAAAAAAATGTCAGTCCTTTAATGCAAATCGCCACAACACTATATGGTAAGGAACAAATGTTGGCAAATGCTGGTTAAATACCAGCGACTTCCGTAATCCATTCTCTTACAAATGGAACATTCGCGTAAACTCCTGGGAAGTTTGGCCGAGCGCAACCAGCTCCCCATGAAACAATTCCAATTAAGATATTGCCAACTACCAAAGGACCTCCAGAATCCCCTTGGCATGCGTCTCTTCCTCCATATGGAGACCCTGCACACATCATGGTTTCAGTAACACCGAGACCTAAAAATTCGCATGATTTTTGTTTCTGGTTCTTAACTCTTGGCTGGTTCGTTTCCTACTTCCTATATGCAGTTTCATACCCACAAACTTACCGTTTTGGTAATACTCATTGCAACTCTCAATACTAATCAATGGAACCTCCACTGCATGCAACTGAGATGGACTGGATCCGCCCTCAGTTAAAGTACCCCAACCAGAGACTAAACATCTTGATCCGGGAATTAAGGGCTAAACAAATCAAAATTTATCAATCTTCAAAACCAAACAAACAATTATTCAAGTATTTTGCTACTCACGGCATGCGGCGCTGGTAGGGCAACTGGTTGGACGCTATTGGAGAAAACAATTTCTCTGGAAACTTGAATCAAACACATATCATAATCGAAAAAATGCGCGCTGTTCCCATAGCCAGGATGTTCGATTACTTGGTTTACCGTGAAGCGTTCTCCTTCAGATTCAACAAAGGATGTCCCCAGTCGGATGGTGAATAGTGATGGAGGTGTATAAGCACTAGAACCCGTTGGTTAGAAATACTCTTAAAAATGAAATTCGGGATAAGATCCTACAGAAAGAGTTGTGTGCAATGAGCGGCAGTTAAAACCCATCTATTGGAAATAATCGCTCCCCCACACATATGGCTGTAAATATACTCCAATGAAACCTGATAAGGATAGTTGTCGATATTCACTGGAGATCCTCCAACTATTCTGGAGTCCTGTTGTTTAAATAGTGGCGAAAATATACCTAAATTGATCAAAATTGTTATTAGATCTAGTCAACATCTAGTCTCATGAACAAATACCTGGAAGAGTTTTACTTTGGCAAACTTGTATTACATACAAAAGAGCTAATATTTTTAGCTTCATGGTGAGAGTTTAACTGACAAACCGTAACTACCGATCGAAATTAGGAGCAAATGTACGGAAATGTTGCCGTCTTGAATCTTAAGTTACATTGGGATGAGTTATCTAGCAAATGCGCTTTGATGTATTGGATAGATAAAACAGACCAATTAATCAACCTAAATTTTAATCCAAGAAAAATATTTCGGTTTTGGATTAATTCAGAATAGTTTTGCTTCAGCTGGTTTGTGATGATGATGAATGCTGCATGTGCTTATAATTTTAGATTTTTCTTTTACATTGCCATGTTTAATTTCCATATTATTCAATAATTATATTCATAATATCCTGACAAGCTCAAATATAGATTCTAAAAGTAGAATAAAATTTATTTAACGAATTTTTTTCTACAGTTTTCAAAATAAATTGAAACTTTTGGCTGATTTGGCCCATATATATTGTTTAGATCCCGAAAATATAGTTTTCCTACAATTTTATGGCAGAATGAATCGATTGAATCACTAAAACATTGTAATTTTCGTATGATTTTTCAAATAGCTATCTTAGAAAGTACTGAGATTGTCTATTTAGGAAGGTGTCCTTTGTCACCGTTCTAATGGTTGAAGACTCATTTTCTTCGGATTCGGAAAGTACTTTTCAAGACATCCGATTTCTTTAAATTTTGTCAACAGCCATTTCAAGATAAACAGAAGTAAAAACTCCAAACCCATGAAAAACCTTATTGTGTAAAGTCACTGCAAACAAAGTTAAAAAATACAGATTAGAATTGGTTTTTATTTTTAAGTTAAGGATAGTTTTTGTTATTCATGTTTAAAAAATGTTTTAAAAGTTGCTTTTTCGAACTGATTGAAGCTTCCACATTGAGTGAACAATAAATTCAACTATTTTCGAAAATGTTAAGTGTATCTTGAAACATTCGAATCCAATAAAGTGACTGAATAAAATACATTATTGGAAATAAAACGTCCTTTGCTCCACATTAAAAATAGTTGGCTATTTTTTCTTTTGAAAAACACATCAAAGTTACTCATAAAAAATGAATGCTCTTTATTGACAATCGCCACAAAAATATCTATTAATGAACATCTGCATTTTCAACCAGCAAATGCTCGTTAAACTCCAGTCACTTCCGTAATCCATTCTCTCATGAAAGGAACATTTGCGTAAACTCCTGGGAAATTGGGACGAGCGCAACCAGCCCCCCATGAAACAATTCCAATTAAAATATTGTCAACTACTAAAGGACCTCCAGAATCTCCCTGGCATGCGTCTCTTCCTCCATATGGCGATCCTGCACACATCATGGTTTCAGTCACCCCGAGACCTAAAAAAAATGTAAAAAAAACATGAAAAACTTTTAACAGGTAGGTACCAAGTAGAACTCTATAGAATTGATAGGGATGTTTAAGCATTTTTACCATGTTGAATTCGAAAAATGTTCAACGGAAGTATGGGAACTGGGACTTTTTTATGGCTAGCAGTAGAGCGCTACTAAACACATTCAATTGAAAGTCGAAGAATTGCATACTTTGTGGAAAAAAAGCTGAAGCTTTTGTTCAGGTAAATATAATTAACCGATTAGTAAATTCAGCGAAAATAAATTAAATAATTACAAACATTCAGCACACACGAAATGTTGCGCTTAATAGAAAAATAAAGCAGAAGAAAGCGCGATGGAAAAGTGTTCAGGAACAGGGAATTATTGCATCATAAGTAAAATAAGTTTTCCAGTAGTCTTAAAGGGGGAGAAATAATAACATAAACAAGCCTCTAGAACAAACCTCAGAACAAGAACAAGGATGAGAAGAAATGCAATCCCTGTCAATAACATACGATTAGCAGCAGTTTTTTGCAAATGATCCAACTGTGAGAAATGCGAACCAAAAAAAAACGAATTGAAAAAGATCTGAGAATAAAGCATGCAAAACGAAAAATTGAGAACAATCTTCAACAGAAAAGGAGAAAAAGGTAAAACAATAACTTTAAGAGAGACTACCTGATAACATGAGAATGAAACCAAATTTTGTTTTATGAAATGCTATAGTTTATAGTTAGAGTAAAAGCTAAAGGCCGGAATTCATAAACATGTATTTTTTAACGCCTATTGAAAATAACTGTAATAAAATATACCAGTAATTATTAGATTAGTCCATTTTACTATTATTTTCACTGCTTAATTTTTGTGATGTGAAAAGCAAGCGAACTAAATTAAAATAAAATAAAACCAGCTCATAAAAAATAAGCAAGCAACCAAATGCGATTAGAAATAACATTCATTCATAGTCATTGCACGAAAAAAATTGTCAAATTATTTAGATTTCCCAGTCCTTTCTTCTTTTAACTGGATTTATATTTCCAAATTTTGCTTAGTATTCGTTATTTTTTGTTTGTTGAAACCCCCTAAACTCATGTTCTCATTGATTATTTTCCTACTTACTATTTTGGTAGTACTCATTGCAGCTTTTAATGCTGATCAAAGGAACTGTAACCGCATGTAGCACTAGTGGACTAGAACCACCCTCACTTAGTCGGCCCCATCCGCTTACCACGCATCTTGATCCGGGAATCAAAGGCTTCATGTTGAAAAAACGTACAAAAATTACTCAAAATCCATCAACACTAAGTGCTTACTTGCCGCATGAGGAACAGGCAAAGCAACAGGCTGAATGGTATTAGAGAACACAATATCCCTAGACACCTCAATCAAGCTCAAATCATGGTCGAAGAAATTGGCACTGTTTCCATAGCCAGGGTGCTCGATTGTTCTGCTGACGGTTAAAACGGTTCCTTCGGATTGAACGAATGAGGTTCCCATTCGTATGGTGAATAACTGGGTTGGCGATGCACCTCTAAAGACAATTATTGTTGAAAAGTGAAATTTCTTAATTTTGGTTCTTACGGGTCGAGCTGGGTGCAATGAGCAGCACTTGCAATCCATCTGTTGGAAATAATTGCTCCTCCGCAGATATGATGATACAGATACTGCAAGGAAACCTGGTATGGATAGTTTAATATATTTACTGCAACGCCCCCAACTATTCTGTTGTCTGACTCTTTGTGTGGATCAGACAAAAATCCTGCAATGAATTACAGCATTAATTTTTTTCTGGTTATCTTATGCCAATTGCATACCTGGAACATTTTTACTTTGACAAAATTGTATGAAGCACAAAATTGCCAGGATTTTTACCTTGATGCTTGCCATTGCCTTGCAACAGCAGCCAGCAAATGAAGGTAAAAATATATTTTCCAAATGATCGCTTTCTTAATGTCTTCAATCTATGTTGTAAATTTTGTGAATCGATAAATTACAACCACGAAGATAAAAGTCTTAAAATTATGGCAACGAACAGATAAGCTGGTGGAATAATAAATTAAACGTCCCGGTTTTAATCCAAAAACATATAATAATTGTTCTGTTGAACTAACCAAACAATGTTTTAAACCGGATACATTAACAATAAAATAACTTCTCAAGTATGGATGCAACAAGGATCACTAAAGCCAGATAATGCCGAGCTGGTGTTCAAAAATGTAAAGCACAATGGGAATTCAAATGGTCATTAACATCTTTTTGAGTCAAAGTTAGCAATTAGTCTACATTTCTAACGGTCAATATTGCTGTGGTTGAGACCAACTATTAAATAATTTGAAGGTTGATAATGAAAACGGAAAGTTATTGTGATTTAGATTTTCAAACGGTTTCACATATTTTAGTTACTGCTTTTAGGCGAATTAAATTTAGTATACAAAATAACTATTAAATTAGGAAAAAATTTGAAAATAAAGTGCTGAAAGATTTGATCGATCGCACCGTTTTTCAAAATACGTTAAAAAAGATGGACACATTCCTTATCAAAAAATTCACCTCCAGATTTAAAAAAATTGCATTTTAAACAAAACAACAGACAAAATTATAGTTTAAAGTTGTAAACCTAAAGTTGAAGCAATAGTTTCAAACCTCAGAACATAGAAAAGTGACTCGATTATATTCAAGAGGATTAATAATCGGCTCAAAGCTGATTTAAGAAAATATATTCGATTGCAATAAAAAAATGTGTTAAACATTACACCTAACTGTGCTTATCAGTAAAGCGACATACTTTTCCATAGATCTATCGTTACAACATTGAATCACATTCAATCTTACTTGCACTCAATCAATCATTTTATAAGCTTTAATCGATCCAAAACTAACGCTAATAATGGGTTTCTTTATCGTGATGTAGTCGAACCAAGCACTTATAAATCTTACAATACAAAAATCATTTTTAATTGCAAGTGTTGGCGGTATGCGATTATTATACGTAGTTTGATTTAAAAGTTAATTTTTTTTTATTTAATTTAAAAATAAATGTTTTACTTTACTTTAAAGTTTTCAAAACAAGAGACCGTTCAAAATATGAGAAAATGTTTTATAACTTTGTATTTCTCAAAATTGCTTTTTTGTATTTCGAATAAAATAGGTTTTCTAACGAAAATATGTTCATTATTTTCTATTGCAGATTATATAGTCTTACCAGAAAGGAAATACTATTTTACCTTTTAGAAGGTAAAAAAATGAAAATTAGTTCTAGACTACATTTATTATTTTCTCAAAGAGCATGAATTATAATGACAAGACATTTTCGTCATATTCAAGCTAGGAAAGATATTTCATAAAAGTAAGAAACTTATAGTTTTAATTTAAAACTAAAACATTGAACAAAAACATTTCATCTGAAAACGCATGCATATTTATTACTATAATGTATTTGGTTAAAAAATTTTTTAAAGTAGGACTTTACTCATTTTTTAAACAGTTCTTCATATTTTCAGTGTCTTTATTTTACATTATTGGAACCAAAATCCATTATCTACACATCAGTTAAAATAAATATTTGTACCGGAAATATGCATCTGACAATTATTGTGCCGCTTATTTTATTGGTGATCAAATAGCACCTTAAAATACAATAAAACACAGTGTTCCATACAGTTTTCAGTGGTTTATTATGTGCAATATATCTGTTGTTAAGTCCATAATAAATGTTCTAAAAGGAGATAACATTGTTAACAGCTTGGCCACATAAGGGTTAAATATCTGGCTGATGTCCTGCTTGGCTTTCATTTTCAACTATGATATAGTCCAGTCAAACAGCAATCATGAATTTATTTGCTGCATCATTTGCTTTGTTTCTGGCATTTTGTGAAAGTTTTATCATACCCGGAAATGTGAGCCGTAAGTATGCATTTTTTTGTGAAGACTAAAATAAATTATAAAAACATATGAAAAAAAAAACAGAAAGTATGCAAATTAGCAGGGATAATTCAATTAAAGCCATTTTGTTCTTGAAAGTTTGTCTTGGATTTTAACATTCTACCTCTGTAGGTGCAAACAACATTTATGAAAGAGCGCAAGAAATTGGTATCTAGCCAAATACGCTTGTTAAAAAAATGTTTTCCACTAGGCATTGAATACAAGGAAGAACTAGGGCGAATAGTTGGAGGAGCTCAAACTGATATCACCCTTTACCCTTATCAAATATCCCTGCAACTTTACTACAGACATCGATGTGGAGGAGCCATTATTTCTGACCGATGGGCTCTAACTGCGGCACATTGCACCAGATTGTAAGTCTGCAGGAAGTCAATTAAATTGCAGTTTAATACTGCAAACTAAATTTTTCATCCAGAAATAGAGTAACACGACCTCCAATTCTCGCCTTCACTGTCCGACTTGGCTCTTCTTTTCTAATGGCTGAAGGCTTAGTAACTGGACTTACCAGGATTGTTGATCATCACATGTATGGCAATTCAGTTAACTTACTTGACTATGATATTTCGCTAATTCAGCTAGCTCGGACACTTACCTTTACTAATTCCATTCAGCCAGTTGCCCTTCCATCTGCAGACCAGGTAAGTCTTGCAAAATTGTTTGTAAACTTTTAATTTTATTTTTTCGAACTTTATATTGTAACTACAGATAAATTTCTCCAATCTGGTTAATTTAGTAGCTTGCATTTCAATACGCTTACAATGCAATGTCGAATTCATCACCCATTTCGGCTTTAACTTTTTTCTTTTTATTTCCTTTATTTCATTTTAAATAAATTAAGCTAAAAGTTTGCCTCGATCTCATTAGATAATATTTTTTATTACGCATGAGTTTCCTCCACCGACTCTTTTTCCTCCACTGCTCGGACGGTTTGCCGTTTCTGTTTTCAATAGTTTCAATTTTTCAAGTTTATTATTTTTCATGTCAAATTTATATTTGTTTTGTTGCGATTTTCTTTAGGTTTCTTTCCTGCCAATTTCTCTGATTTCTTCTATACCTTTTTCTGGTAATGAATGATATAATTCAAATAATTATTAAAATCAGCTTCTATGTATGCTTTATTATTATTCTTTCTACGTTCTTCTTTCATATTTTTACTCTGTATTTCTTTTTAATTGCCTATGGCTTAATGCGAATACACATAAAAATGTTGAAGAGTTCCAGATTCCAGTGAGGATTAGAGCATACTTTAGTTCAAATCAGTTACTTTCATGTAGTACTAAATTGGGAATAATAATTCACTTACTTTTATCTAATGCTATAGTCGAAAAACAAAAATTTGAAAATGAGTTAAAATTTGCGCAGTTTATCTATTTTTTCATCTTCTTTCTGCTTTAGTGTGTAATCTCGAAAAGTATTTCTGCAAATTTCAATTTAAATTACTCTTGAAGTTTTGCAATCTGCAAATTCTTCAAAAAATTTTTTACATGGCCTGGAAATTATTGGAGGAAACCCATATGTTTGATGTAAAAACATCATAAAAGATTATTGCTACATTAAACTGGAACTAAAGCAGAAATGTAATACCAGTGATCCAGACGAAATAAGTAAAAATTAAGTTGTAAACCATCTGTTGTAATGAAGTTACTGTAAATTCAGCTGACATATTTTCAGTATTTATTGAAGGCTCAACATCTAATTTACTAAAAAACTGAACATTTTAAGAATCTCCAGTCCGTTAGACTAAAAAAAGGCGCATATTTCTGAACGTGAATTAAATTGGACCGAAAACAATAATAATTAACAACAGTTTCAATCTACTTCCTACTTCCAAAGCCATGAATTTGTCTTTATTGCCTATTATCTTTCGTCTGGAATATTGCGTGTTTGGTATGGTAGAGCGACCATTATTCGTCATTTACTTTTCAAATAAAAACAATTTTAAATGTTTTAAACTTTATCTGAAAACTTTACACATGTTGTCATAGGTAGAAGTACCAGGAGCACGATGTGTAATAACAGGATGGGGAACTTTAACATCGGGAGGAACATCTCCATCAAGACTGCATGTGGTCAGTGTGCCTTGGATTAGCAACGAAAGTTGCAATCAATACTATAATCCATGTACGTACCAGTCAAATTGATGCCGAGCCTTAATAACATGTCTTAACCTGCCAAGCTTATCTTAATTCTTATGGAATTATGCATTCGTAATCGCCAAGGATTATTCGTGGAATTTAAGACGTTTATCTTAAAGCTAACAAGTTGAAATTATTAGAAATTGCAGTCGTAAAAAGCTTAAGATGGATCTATTTCAACGGATACTGTGTCGACTTAAGTCGGATCCACATGCGAAACACTGGTGTCGGTGGTTTGCAGTAAAATGCTTCGTGTGGTCCGAAAGTTTCCTTCAATTTCGATAAAAATATGAATTCCTGAATAATGCGAAGTAATAAGCTGTTTAATGTGGATTGGCCCAATAAATTATTTATTATGTATTCACACTATATAAGGAATAAACTGTTTTGAAAGTAAAAATAACATGTAAGGCGCAGTGTTATGCCATCAATTCAATAATTACTTCTGCATTCCAAGGAAGTAGGCCTGGGTAACAATGTGTTAAGTTGCGCTATTGAGTTGTTGCCGCTCTCTGACTTACCGAGTTATAACTCATCGGTTAATGAGTTATAATTAATTTAGTAAAACTTTACAAAACGCCACAGTGGAATTTTCACATCTAAAAAAAAGGTTATCAACATTTATTTTTTATGAGTCCAAACAACTGTAAAAACGGGCATTTAGATTTTCTCAGCAACAGAACTTAGTCCAAAGAAAGTAGACGAGTTTTCGTGTAAAACCGTCTCTTAATTTCTTCGCATATAAGATTCAGTTTGCCAGTATTTTACAGTAAAACGTTAGGAAATACGCGGTTTTTCTGTTTAGTTACAGCATTGTTTAGAAAGATTGTCCTAAAACTGAAGAAACTCCCTTTTGCAGATTTTTGCAAATAAATTATTACAAACGTTTTCGCTTTTTCAATAAGTAAAACAAAAAATTCTCAATAGAAGCTTTGTTAAAAGTGGAATGACCTGAAAATTTAAAGAAACTTTTAAAATCTTCAGAGATCGATGAGCGATGGCGACGAATTTGACAAATACATTTTTTTGTTAACTTTTGCTCTCTGGTCGTGTTTCAAGATAATCCTAATTACTTTCGGCAAAAAAACTCAATAAATTTATTTGCTTTTTGTGCCAAATTTGAAGCTGAAATGAGCTTTCTAAAGTTCCCCACAAACCGATTAATAAGACTAATTTTCGAGCAAAATTCATTTTGCAGTTTTTTGCTGAAAAGACTCCCTTTTTGTCAGAAAAGCAGAAAAGAATGCGTTTTTGCGTTTTCGAATAAAAACTTTCAGTTTTGTGATCGGTTTTGGGGAAAACCTTAATGGTTTTCGGGGAAAACCGAGAGGAATGTATTTTCGTTTTTGTCCCAAATTCGATGCTGAAAAAAGTTTTTATAAAATTTTAACAAAGCTATAAATTTAACTTGTAATTTTTCGCGTAACAATCCTACATATCGTCAGTATTTTTAAGTGAAACTCTACAAAATAGATCGTTTTTGAGTAGAGAGAAAAAAATTCAGTAAAAACTAAAAAACTACATTTTTCAGCAAATTTTATAGTCTTCAGAGGAATGGAGGTGACGAGATTTCCTTTGAAAAAATCTGTTATAAACTTTCGCTTATTCAGTTCGTTTTTTGATAGAAAATTATTTCGTGTTTGTTCCAAATTTCAAGCTGGAAAGGGATTTTCAAACTTTTTAAGAAGCGACAAAGAATTCGAAATTTATTTCATAATTTTCGCAGAAAATGCCTTAAGATTGTCAGCATTTTTAAGTGAAAGTAGAAAATTGAGCATTCAGAAGGAAAAGTGACTTGGCCAAACTACTAGTAGTTTGCATGAATTTTAAATCTGATGATGGCGCTGTTGTCTCGCCGAAACGTTGAAACGATATAAGAAATTTTATTTCACACGTTGACTGAAACCCAAGAAGGAAAACAATTTCGGTTTTATTAACATTCCTACCACCTTCAACGTTATTTGTTTTTTGAAAATGACTATGAGGGAAAATGAGAGCAAATAGAGTTTCTTAAGCGAAAGTAACAAACAAGTTTAAGGAATAAAACAAACAACCATTTACAATCTGACTTTGGTAGGCATAAAGCAATCGAACAATATTTTTTGCTTTAGCTTGTCTGAAAACGAAAAAATATCAGTGAATCTGAAAACAAAAGCACCACTTGCGTGAAAATAAACAATAACGTAAAATTAGTGTGGGAAAACTGCAAAATCACAAATATAAATCGAAATAAATTGGAGCCATTGCTCAGTTGTAGTGAGCACTTGTATGCAACTGAACTTACTTTCGTTAAAAACCCCCAAGAAAAAAACAAAAATAAATATTAATTTGATCCCAAAATTAGCGCAGTATGTGCACAAGCTTTCTGAAAAAATCCAGGATATTTCTAGATCGCTAAAACTGAAACTTGTTAAAAATTAAGTCTGCAAGGTGAAAAATGGCCACGTATCGCAGATCTATTGAACTAGTGATCGAAAACACGATTTTAATTACACTGTAATCTATTTGATCTTATCGGATTTTGATCAGCGCATATCAAAACGAATATGTTTCGCGATGTATTAAAATTCTAAATTCTTCAACAAAAGGGCTTTCATTCAATCATTTAGAAATTAAATAGAAAATGTTGCTGTTGATATTTCTTGGCGGTGAATTAAAGAACCCGCCTTTTTGTACCTTCAAAAAAATTGAGTTATTTTGCAAGAGCTTTAAAGATTCCAGAAACAATAGTGAAAAAACTCTAGTGAAAAATATCCTGCTGGCGCTTAAATAAATGTTATTTCAGCAAGAGTCTCCTACAGCATGATGTGTGCTGGATCGCCTTATGGAGGAAGAGATGCTTGCCAAGGAGACTCCGGAGGACCTTTGGTCGTAGACAACGTTTTAATCGGCATTGTTTCTTGGGGTAGAGGATGTGCCCTGGCCGGATTTCCTGGGGTCTACGCCTATGTGGTACCTGTTAGGCCCTGGATTGCTAATATCACGGGACTTTAGACTCGCCAATGCTAACCGTAGTCCATTAAAAATGTCCTGTCTTATTGCTTGTTGATTTGTTCTTAAGCTAAGGTAGAGCGGGTAAAAAATAATAAACATGGTGCTTAGTTAAAATATACATATATTTTTTATACGTATAATATCATTAGTGTAATCATAAATAAAAAGGTACAAAACAAATATCCACCTTCATCTTCTTTTAGTTCTTACAAGTTACCACCTGGACAAGGCTTTCCAGAAAATAGAAAATCTACTTTCCGATGATGATTTTGCGTCCAGCGCCGATATTTTGGCCGGCTTGGGTGGCACCTTTGTTCTGTCCAGCCTGGAGACCGATGATGGTCTGTCCGGCCTTCAATTGTTCCTCGCTGAAGTCACGTTTGTTTTCTTCGGATGGTTTAGGTCCCAGCCATGGTCCGGGCCATTCAGAGTGCCTGTAGGTTTGACGACCAAGAGCGAACAAGGTGTTGGTTACACCAGCAATGTCTTTCTTTTCCCACAGATCAACTGTTTGGAAAACATCGATGTCGGCTACTCCATAATTTTTGATTGCTGCCTGGAAGCTATCAAAAAAAATGTTGTTAGAAAATCCGTTTGTTTGATGTTGCAGCAGTTTGCAACTAGACTGAAAGTACTTTCTGCTATTTTTTCCAACAAAAATATACTTCGAGCTCTCGAGGACCGTAAAATTGTGCTAAGGCGTAGTTTAATTGATCATCATTAAATCGTCTCACTTGTTTAGACTGAAAATACTTTCCAGGTAATAAAGCGAGCGTTGCCTAATAACAGTTAAACAGCTGCAATTTTTCTTCAAACAAAAAGTGGAAAAACGCTTCCAGTATTTCTATCAACATTCCAGTATTTCTAAATAAACTGCAGCTATTTTTAAGAAAATGGCAGACCCGAATAAACAACTATGTAAAAAGCAGTTTTCTGGAATCCGCGTTCTATTAATAGGTTTTACGAAATTTTTGAAACTAAATATTATAAAATATAATGGGAATTGGCACCCGAAACCGTTTGACGATGGTCTGGTTTATAATAGATCTGGTCCGCCGTTAAAATTAACTTTTATTACGTTTAGTTGCGATTATTGTTGAATACTCAACTTTGAACTGATTTTAATGAATAGCAAAGAACTTTGATGTTGTTAAGCTTGAGTCTAATCTGGATTCCGTTGTATGGTTTGTATCATGGAATTCTAGGAATTTTAAAGCTTTTTTTACAACCTGAAAAAAACAAAGTCTTGAGTATATCTGATGGCCAGTTCCAGTTTTACTGTTTTCTTCAAAATTAGGACAATTAAAAATAATTTTATTCTGCAGTTTTTCTAGAAATTCAGTGAATATTTCAACTGTTGGAAGCTCTAAAGTGTCTTCGGCTTTTGCATTAGAGCTACTTGTTGAAGCAAAAGGTTTTCTCAAATTTACTGAACCGGCATTGAAAATTATATTGAAGAATTTCATAGAAATTTAGTGGAATTGGCAACAAAGTTAAAAAATGTACAAGGAAATGAAAAATGACAATTTGCTAAACCGCTTTCAACATTTCTCTGGAACTTTTGGAATCTCAAATTAATGATCTCTTCGCGAAAAAAATTATTTTGGAACGCAAGAGCAAGTTTTGCGTTGGGTTTCCGTAATTCCAGTTTTATTCAGAAGCTCAATAAATAAATTCTGGAAGCTAAATGGGGAATAATTATTGTTTCCAGATATGGAATTCTCAAATTTTTATCGCATTTTTTCAAAAAATTATACATCTTTTTTAGTTTCGCATGACGAAAACTCGCCCCTACTTACCATTGTGTGCAATTAACTGATACATTCAGTTTGTTTTGGATACAAACTCGAAACTCAACGTTTTTATTATTCTGTTAAATTTAAGAAAACAGCCGAAGAACTTTAGCAAAAAAATGTTTGAGAAAAGTAGGAAAATTATTATCAATTTCATTGAAAAATGAGGGAAAGTTCTGCGTGAACCGGTTTTTGCAAATAGAGATAAATTTGCGCCCAACTTACTTGTTGATGTTTTCCATGAATTTGAACTGTCCGCCAGATTTGTTGATTTTGCTAACGGATCCGGGGGCAAGTTTGTTGATTACTTCGCACAGGATGGTACCGTCCTTAAGGACATCTTCGTACGCCTGGCCTGGGGGGAATTTGGCTCCCAAGATGGATTCGATCCATTCTTGGGCTTCCTTGTCCTGTTGTACATCACGCTTGGCAGCGAGCTAAACAACAAGGATAAGTTTCAAATTTCCATTTCAAAATGTCTTAAAAATCGAGTTATACATAGTTGCGTAATTTATTCAAGGTTTTTAAACTACGTTAATTTAAAGGCATGTTGCAAGCCAACTAGAACATTTTGAAGAATGTCTTTAAAGTAAAGGAAGATCATAAACTTGTTCATCAATTGTTTTGGAGAGAAGCCACAGAATAAGTGGCAAAGTTTAAAATTAGGCCAAAAATTCAAATAGCAGAAGACAAGAAAAGTTGAATTATATTGTTATTCCAGGATGGCTTGTTATTCCAGAAAGCGGTACTCACTTTGGCTTGGACTTGACGTTCCAGAGACATGATAGCGAGTTTCGCGCTTAGGTGAACCAACGAATTTGACCACCACACTAAACTGAATGCGAAAATCAACTTGTTTTGCTTATATACGAGGTCGGATTTTCGATCAACCTACAGGATTTCAACGTAGTTGTGGAAAACTCGACGCTGGTTAAATTTAGCTGGGCGAATCAGATTTTCAGTGATTTAATCCAACTCACACTGTGCAATCATGATTATGTGATTTATTCTGGATGGTTTCCCAATTTCTTCTGAGTCTGTGTATCCATAATGATTATTGTCATTACTGTCTCATCATTTTTAATTGGAAGCACTTTGTTTATGGTAATTTTCTATAGTATTCATTCTGCAATGAGAAGTAATAAAACCGTCTTCATCTGATGATTCTATTGTCGCTATTGCTACAACAAGGAGCCAGAAACGAAAGTAAAACTTGAAGACTTCTAATATCAATTCTACAGCCAAAACCCTCCAACACGGAGGTTTTCAAATGCATTGTTCACTCAGAAATGATGCAAACGAAAGCTCGGAAGCGGTTTAAAAAAACGCTTGAGAAGAAACGAGATAAAGAAAGCTTTGATGGGTGAAAAATTGAAATCACCTTACAGGATCTTGCCTGTGTCAGCAGATTGTTGAAGCAGAAGCCAGCCCATTTGGAGTCTTTCTGGGAGCAAACTGGTTGAATTGGTCCTTCTACTGGTAATTGTTCCAAATCTATCTTCAAGTCCAAAGGCGCTTTACAAAAACGACTGAATATGCCGAATCTGATCTTACTTGCAATAAATGTATATATTTAAAATCGCGATGATTTGTGAACCTAAATAAAATTGACTCAACATTAAATAAACAATGTCTTTATTCTTACTTTACATAAATGGACTAGACAAAATCTGGAAGGGATGCCATAAGCTTAATAACAGTCAACCACTGGATAAGTATAAAAAATCAGAAAGGTGCTTCCTAATTTAAATACCATGTCAGAGCTTAAAAAATTAATGAGAATTTCTTTGGACGTTTTTCGTGTGTTATTCTCTAGAATTATCTCCGAAATGATCCAACAGGTTTATTAGTGATCAACTGTCAAAAACCGAAATTGGATTGGAAATGAAATTAACACTAAAATCTACGTTTTTTATAAAATCATATGTACTTACTGAGCAACTAACAGTACGATGGGTAAAAACGACTAATATACTTCCATTGATATTGTGCTAAAAATATAATAAAATAAGATTTAATGGCTTTTCCCCTTTGTCAATCGGTAACATTCTTAGCACTCTACTTTAGTAACTTTTACAATTATCCCTCTTAGTTGCTCATTCCACTTAGTGAAGTTGATAGAACCGAAGTTTCCTTACCTACTATACAGTTATTTGCATAAAACAATTATTATAGCCCTTATAATTTATACTTTGAATCAAAATCAATATGTCGCCTAATGAGTGTATTTCATAAAATTCGGAAGATTCTATTCTTACAACTACTCGACTTAACTGGCTATTGGACGATGTACCAAATAATTTACACATATTTACAATATTATAAAAATCACAAAACTTTATAAAATATTTATTCGTCAGTTTCCTCGCCCATGGTAATAATAAGGATCACTGAATCAGGCGTTTTCCTTCAACAAATAAACAGTATAAAAAATATATAAAACATATAAAAAATGTAAAAAACAAACAAAGGCAACTTAGAAATTGTATCTTTTAAAATACATTAACTGCACATTTATTCGTTCTAATACCACATTACATGTGCATGAAGGACGATATTTATTTAAATTAAAATACAAAAATATGTAAGAGCCACATGAAAATCATCGTATAAGAGTATAGATATTTTGCATCATTTATTATACACATTCATCCGTATACAAGTCGTATAACTAGATAAATTCAAGTCGAAGACGGATTCCATATTATTTTCCTTACTTACGTTGAATGCGCAAAAGTTTCGGATAGTCTTACTAGTAAGTACAGGATCCAAACACAACATTTAAAAAAAGTCACATAAACTGAGATGATACTTAAGGGGTACGCTAAGTCCATAGAAACACAATTTTTAAAATAAATGATTTGCAGCGGTCGGTTTCAGATGGTCGCCCAGTAGATAAGATGCAGCACCACTCGGTCCCAGCAAAGAGGTGAATGGTGATGACAAAGCAGCAGCAGCAGCAGCTGCATGGTGTGACTGAAGATGGCTGGGCTGAGAGGACAAAACTTTGTTGGCTTGTTGCACCAGCAGGGCGGTGTTGCAGGACTGCGGGCTCATTGCAGCCCATTTATTGTTGTTGGACATCGATTCGTCCGAAAGTTTACCTGCAGAATTAAAATTAATGAATTTTACTGAAAACTTAAGTTGCAAATTACTGTAGTACTTGAAATTAAGAAGAAGTTTACAGAAAGACAGGGAAGGAGCGTAAAGACTCAAATCGAGCTGGTTCAATTTTCAAAACAATCAATAATTCATAAAATATAGACGCTGTATCAATCATGGTATGTTTAAAAGCTTGATGCAGAAGCATTTAAAACACGATTTTTAAGTTTCAAATATTTACAGCTAGAAGCATCGTTGGCATTGTTTCATGTCAGGTCTAATCGATCTCAAATATTTCAAATATAATAATAGATCTGTTTTGTAATCAGATGTGAAGTTGTTTTGTTACAGAACCTGCACAATAAGTCAGAAAATGAGGTTGCACTCGAAGTGAAGTAAATAGTAGAAACTTATAAATACCACTGTCTATTCATTTTAATTGAAAAAGTTTTGTTTAATTAAATAATTTTGCTGATCCAGTTTGAATTACTTGTTTGAATTAGGCAAATTTCTAGGATTTCACATCAAAATTAGTGACGACGCGAAAATTGCCTCTAAGAACGTAAAAGTTTCAATTATTTTTACTTTCAGTTTTCTAAATTTTCGAGCTATTTATCCCATGCAAACCATAATTAGGGTACAGACAGATTTAACTCGTACTTATTTATTTGATTTATATATCGGCATATTTGTACGACATTTATTTATAGTTCGGGCACATTTACACTTGACCCAATATTTCTCCCGAATTAACGAAACAGCTGCTTATGATCCACTTGCAATGCAATTTTCAGGTTTCGAAGAAAAAATTGCGTTTGCTATTGCTTTAAGCTGATTGAAGGAAACAATGCGAAAATGAATTCAATGTAACTGGAGAGTTTTTCGGGATTTCAGGCCATCGTGGCAATGAATTTTTGCAAGCACCAGTCGCTTGCATCTTCATACTGCGCCAAGCAAGCCACCTCTGAAAGTGCAAGCTACTCATGCTTACAAAATGCCAGGAGGAAATTCGCGTGACGAAAGGCCGACGAAAACTCTGTTCGGAAATTCTGATCAAAAAAGTTTTTTTCACACTCGACATACTGGACACATGGAGTTTCTAATTGCATATAGCAATAATCGGTTCTGCCTTGTTATTGTGCAATTTATTAATAAATTTATCTAGCGAGACAGCTTATTGTCAGTCGAGCGAGATCCTATTTAAATAATGTAGCAAATAATAAATCACTCTTATTTTATATGAAATTGGCAAAGGGATGCCAAAATAAATATTTTAAATCGCCAAAAAGTGCCTGAATTGTTTCGAGTTGACATAAGCCAAACACGTTTTCAGAACTTTTGCCGTATGCATTTTAATTGGTATGACGGGCATTTTTTTGTCATTACAACTAAAAGCTCATGCATGTTTTCTGTTAATTTTGTTTTACCCTTAGGAGAGCTGATCACCCCAAGAGAAAAGTCTGAAAGCAGAATTTTTAGGCCCGCGGAAACTGAAAACAACGATATTTTGAGATAGAAAGTATTTGCACCAGAACAGAAAGCAACTGCTTTTAAAAAATGCTTTATATGTACACGGCTGGAAAAAAATCAAATACTTTGTCTTTTCATAAATCTTCTGTGGTGATAACGTTCAAACTAATTCACTGGATTGTTGAAGCATAAAGAAAATTCCAGAATAAAGTGTAAAAGATATTTAGAGACTTGATAAACAAACGGCCCATCTGTGTCCTGTAGGTTAAAAATACTTTATTTCGTTAATATATTCTAATATATTGAGATGATCCAGCTTTGCCAAGATTCTGTACGGATAGTCACACACTTGTCATGAGTCTGGAATTGTTCTTTTGGTAAATAAATAGGTTTAAAGCACGTGGACAGTAAAGGACGTTAAATAAATTTATTAATGAAGATCAGTAGCAGTTTGTATCGCTTGGGTATAATTTTTGAAAACAGATGTTTTCAATTTGTTCATCTGCTGAACAATTTGGAAAACACATTTTTTGGCTCCGACTCCCAATATATTGAAATTTCCAGATGAAAAATTCGTTTTTCGGAAAGTCAATGTGTGCATGTATTGCCTAAGCTTGTACAATCTTCAGGTTCAAATTTCAATCCAAACATGCTTTTATTCAAATGAAAAAACCGAAGTTATAATTTATAGATTAAGAAAATGTTACACCAAAATAGTGTGAACTCTCAATAGTTCGAAGAAAATCGTCTAAATCCACCTCTGCTTCTCACTTGCTACGGCCACTATTCGGAAAATGGATTTCACATATGAGGCCTTTTGAAGCCTGCCAGATGCTCGCCAAATTTATATTTATGGAATTCAAAAATAATATCGTCCTATTCAATTTTCCGCACAACGGACGTTTTGATACATGTTGCTACCCCATATCGAGAGCCACATTTATTTTCCATGGAAGATGACCAAATTTATCGGAAACGCTTCCGTAGAAGTTTTGCCTTAGAAGAAACTTTAGTAGCTATTGTCTACACAATTTGATGTTTTATTAGTTTCCTTGGTTTTGTTCAGTTTTTACTACTTCTCAAATGCGCCAAGGATCTGGCACTCAAGTAAGGTTTTATGGTATTGAAATTAACATCAGTTGCTTTGACCAACTACCTGCTACAATTAAATGAAACAACATCTAAAACAGAGGTATTTAGAGTATCATTCTAGCCTCGATAGTTTTCTTCTTTCTGAGCGTGTAGATTCAGCCAAGAAACATGCAACATTTCATCCTACAGAAGAAAACCAGAGGTAGGCAATAGAACCGTGGCAGCTCCAAAGCAAAAAAGACAAAACACGAGTTTGGAAACTTTTAGTTTGAAACAAGTCAAATTGAACTGGTTTGTAACAACAAGGATCAAAACCCTTCAGACATTAAATAATAAAATGGGCCGTATAGTTAGTAAATTCAAATAAAGTGTGCATCCTTCTCCATGACAACATGCCACTAGGCAGGCCGGGTCTTTCTTGGCGGCATCCGAACAGTTGACAGTAATGGAAATAAACGAGAGGCGGCGGCCAATTTTCTAGATTAAACGTCAGGGAGAGGCGGCTGGTGCTCTTTCCGCCTTCGGCCTCATGCTGCCTCCAACGGCCGATCCAGAACTCCAGAGTGAGCCTGTCAAGGGACAGAACTGACTCACACTGGGTCGGAATGATTAGGAAAAAATCACGAAAGTTTCATTATAACATGGAAATAATGGAAGTGCACTAATTAGAACTGGTCGTAGTCTTATTGCTTTCGGTGCTTGATTAGTAGACATGGAAGGTCTGGAAAGTTGATTTGAAACTTTAAACTCCATTAGTGAGTTTGCGATGAAAAGTTTTCATTCTGAAATTTATCCTGTTTATGAATCGGGGAATATGCCAAGTACATATCATTGTAGTCGTGTTCGTTCACTTGTTTTGAATGGGCAGGCTTGGAAGGTTTTGAGGAAAAAGTTAAAAAATGTATAAGAAAACTCCTGTTTTGTTGCTTCTTTAAACGCAAACGCAGCTCTGGTTGATTTGAAGATTTCAAAATAACTTGCAACGATCCAAAAATGCAAGGTGATTTAAAATGTTTCCTTTCTTTAAAGAGTTTTAAGCGCTCTTTATAGCTTATAGATAGAATAGCTTAAAGAGATTAGAAAGCAAATAAAATGTCTTATATAAAGTTGAGTTTATTTGCTGATAATAATAATTATGCAATATTCAGGTTGAATTCTACGATTGGGCAATATTTTAAAGTGTTCAATTCGCACACTATTGGTATAGCTAGACACTGTTTAAACTTTGGAAAAATGTCTATGTGGACAAATTAAAATCATAAAACTTCGCATCCATGCATCCAGACATATATTTTCCGACAAACATCATTGCATCGTATTTGTGGTTAATTTTTAAGATGTGCTCTTCAAGGCATAAAATGTTTAACAATGTCTAACATTTTAAGTTTACCTTCGTTAAGAAGGCGTCCAATGCCTTGAATCTTCAACATAACAAACGCCCGAAATTTTATTTGTCGGCTTTATGACTTGCCGTTTTGTCACTAAGCGCCCGCAACCAAGAATCTGGACCAAACCGGAATAACTGTTCCGTTCAAAAATAATTTCAAATTGCTTAGAAATCCTCACAAACCCAAGTATTCATTTATTTCAAACATTACAAGCTGTACCGAAAAAAACCGATATAAAATATCTCGGTTCCGGTTCAACCCTTAACAGCGTGTTACTAAGAAGTATGGGTTCAGTTTCGGTTCCAGTCCAGGAAAAAAGCCGGTGCCGTTCCAGTTTTGAAATACAGTATTAAGTAACAGGTCGATTTATCCGATATAAAAAAAGGTCGATTTATTCGATCTAAAAATTTCATTGGATGGAAAGTTTACCTTTTACATCAACCTGTGATCTGAGATTCAAACATTTTCTTAAAGCAACGAAAACTGATGTTTTTATGGTTATGATGTGAAGCTGATGAGATGTTTTTATAAATTGAGCATTTCTGCGACAAGACGCATGTAAAGGTATGAATTTTGGAAACGTATGTGAAAAACTAAAGCTTGAAACATTGATTTCTTGACAACTGATTAGACAGGTAAATCTATAGTTTGTTGTGATGTTGTTTGGTTCTGTGATGTTTTCCTTTGTTAAGATTATTAGAGGAAACCAAGTATTCTTCACACATTTTATTGATAACAAAGGATGATCTTCATGATCTGATTTACAATCGTTTTATTTTTAATCATCATTATCTCAGTTTAAAAAAATGCCGCTGAATAAGAATTAGGAAATGTTATAAAATTGTATCAAGGAAAAGTCAAGAGAATTCTCTTGAAAATTAAGAAAAAATTCAAAATATGGCTTTGAAAATCGCCCATCGACCGTCGAAAGTTTGCCTTCGTCTCTTCACTGTTTCCTGCTGTATGTTTTTCTTTGTGCTTACTTTTCAGCTTGATGTTACACTTGTTTCCATTGTCGATTGTAGGATTAAGCAACAAATGTTTACGTAATGTTAGTAAATAAATTTGATTTTATAACAAAGATATTAAGAGATAGACAAAACTATTCATAAAACCCAATTTTTTTGACAAAAACATTAATGAAAAATAAGGGTATCAGGAATAAAAGACAGACACTCGCCTGTTCACCAGCCATACGCGTAGTTAATATTTATATAAATCGACTAACTGTAAGCATAAAATTTCTACGAGCTTGAGTTCATAAAATTTTTATATAAAATAGAAACTTTTCGATATGGGCCAAATTTTGTTCTTTTTCTAGCATATTTAACATTACTTACGCCACTGACCACTGTTGATTAATGTACGAAAGGAAAATAGATTAGGAAAATTTAGGCCGATTTTTCTGCAATTAAACCACATTGTACCATTTCTTCTAAGTGTGATAGTTTCTTAATATCACGATTACAAATTGCCCAATTTACAAATCCAGCTGGTTTATTTAACTCATTTTAAACCAAAAAAATTCAATGTTCATAAAAAACTTACCATTATTAGCAGGTTTGATATCGATACCATTCGAAGAATGATGACTCGATATGCTACTGGTATTCGAATTAGGGGTGGTGCTAACGCTGGAATTCGGTGAACTTGGTTTCACATCCTTCTGCATCCCTTGGCCGTTCTTTGTGGTTGTGCCGGCACCTTCCGCTTTGATCGATGGAGGATTGGGACTGTCGGCTGAATTGTTTGATTGATTCTGATTGGAGGCTTTCTGCTGTGCCAGACGTTCCTGTTTCCGAAATTTCGCTCGCCGGTTTTGAAACCAAACCTGCAACAATCGGAAAATCAATAGTCGTTATCGAAATAATTCAAATGTACCCTTGAAGAACATTTGATACAATAAACGTCTGATGTTTGGTATATTTAATTAGTTAAATTTTAATTAAGTACCCTCCTCCTGTAGTAAATTGATTAAAATTTTCCTCAGACCCTTGTTTTTCTGTATCATCTCCTTCGAGAAGCCGCCGCCGAAAGCGGCCTGTAATTTATAACGCTTTTCATTCTTTAGATTTGCAACCCTACTTATAAAGATTAACTAATGAAATGTTATGATTTACGAAGGTTGAATTTCCACTCCAAATGTTCGATTTTTTAATGTTTTATGAGCATATTTTCACGGGGAAGTTAAGGACATTGTAAATCTGTTTGCAGAGGGGATTCGGGGCAGGTTTTCACTTTATTGATTTCAAAATATTGCGACCAGAGAACATTTTCTTCTGGCTTACTCACATCGTTGCAATTTGTACCTAAACATTATAAGTGAATGAGCCGAAGCCGCACTGTTTCAGCTTCAGGCAGATGCATTTAAGCGTCTTAAACCAGGCTGGGGCCTAATAAACCTGCAAAGTAACTGAAATGGGCCTATGGGATAACACACTTTCGGGGCCGTAAAGTGGACAAACTAATCAGAACTCTTCTGTTTTTATTACCGCTTCCAACTAACTGTATTTTTAATTAAAAATAGAAGTAAATAGAAAAACTGTAAAACTAGAATAGTACAACGTAAATTACAGGAAACAATAATTTTTTGTTGGAAACCAAATAAAAAAATGTATAACTAAAAAAATTGTTCAACTGTGCAAAGTACGACTTCCTCAAAATACTAGCACTGATTTTGCTCTATCTGCTACCTGTTTATATCTGGCTGTAAGCCCAAAGTTCTAGCCAAAACAATTCGGGCAATTATTTAATTATATTCTCATGGCAATTATCCAAAGATTGCCTTAGCAAGTTAAACGAAAAACGTTGCGACCATTTCACGCAATTAACATTTCTTATATGTATTTTAATGGAGCTTAGCATTGAATCAACACTTTGTAGCAATTATCGGAAAAGCCATAGCACAATTCACGGCATGTGTTCGATTTGCTTTACTGCAGACAAAAAAAGCCGATCCTTTTCAATTTGGCCTGCAACAGTAAAGCGAGGAAAAAATTGAAAACGAACACAGGCACGTTGAATATTTGCACAACATTTTACAATAATTGCGCCTCCCCTTGACAGCCGATAAATAAAAGCAGAATTGATTAAGCTGATTGCTGTGCTCTCACGGTTCTTTTTTTATTTGAATAAATAAATGCTCGTGTTCAACAAAGGTGCAATTGCCTACTGTTTTCGAAATGGGAACCAAATTACATGTATTGATATGTAGGCATTTTTAGCAAAACTGTAGATGGCCTGAATGCTTTTGTTCGTAATAATTTTTTATATTCTTGCTCATCCTGTTTAACATTGATTTAAACTAGATTGACTGATAAAATTCCATCACAGAAGTAATTCCAATATTAATGGCCATTTTTAAGAGCTTCCAGACAATTTCAACTAACGTGAAATAATTTACTTTCTTCTAAACTTTTGATTTAAATTATTTCTTTTAATAGCTCCTTTTCCCATGTTTCAATAACTCATTCTAAAATATTTTTTCAATCTTTTCAGAATTAGGCAAAAAACATTCTTAGCGGAAATTTTAAGGAGAACTGAACACTTTGAATCGCTTTAAAAAAAAGACAAACGTATGAGAACCAAAACTTAGACTATGGAAACACACTAAGAGGAAACACAACGAGGAGGACTCATGACAAAAATAAAACAACATGCAACTGGACTCTTCCAAACCTTGTTTGCCTAGCAAAACGAACTAAACAATTCCGATTCTGATTGCCGTTCTGGACCTTTACAGGATATAAAAAAACAAAATAGAAAGTTACTACTTAAGTTGATTTTGTTGATGGAAAATTTTTACTTAAACCTACCTAATGACATGGACTAAAAGGCTGAGAGTCGAACAGTTGATAGCTTTTTCCATGGAATTGAAAAATATTATGTACGCAGATAGCAAACGAATAAGTTTAAATCAAAATATTTTTCTTTCAAAATGTAAAAAACTTTTTAAAGTTGAGCGCTAAATCCAATAAACATGTGCATTGGTGCATGTATGATTTCTTAGTCGGCTAGTAGTTTAGAAAGGGTATAATTCCTTACTGGGCTTTCATATGCACCACATATTTCACAATAGAACGCTTGTTTACCTAAGATTTCATTCGTTTCATAATCCATAAGACAACGATTTTTTAAACAAAAATCGGTCAATTTTTCCAAATTTGTCGCCGTTTAGAACTTCACCTTTCATAGTCAGTGTTCTATTTTATTGCTGTTCAATAAAATTGTTGTATTTTAACTCATAAGCAGTTTTTCCAATCGCGTGTTGGCTACATTGTTTCATATTCGTAATCATTTAAAAGGTAATATTTTTGGCAAATTGGTATTATAATTTTATTTATATTTTAGTGGATATTCTTTGTACTTTCAGTAACAGTTAAAACAACTATATCCCAAGTTTTCCATTTTAGAGCAAAACAGAGACAGAAGAAATTGATAACATCAATGTAGAAACGCTCAATTAAAGTAAAATAATTCACAGCTTTGTGATTTAAATGTGAATTTACATGATGAAAAGTCTGACGCTCTCAAAATATTTACATCTAATTATACAGGGTTGCTCATTAGTGCGTCAAAGTGCGATATCTCAGTAAATATGAAGTTTACAAGAAAATTCGTCCAACGAAAGTTTTTCACGTTTAAAAGGTCCACATTCTAAAATTACTTTCCAATATACAGGGTGCATCATAAACGTGTGGTAGTTACCAACTCTGGTTTTTTAAATGAAACCCCCCCTTTTTTTGTTATTTTCAGATTGGCCGTTCAATTTTAATTTATGTTTGTTTCAACCGTTTTATCTGAAAAATTTACGATTTCCGAGTTATTCGTAAAAATGTGAAAGTTTTGACAGCTACTGGGTTCCACAGAAATCGATGCTGTACACTACCCGCTG